GAATGAATGAACTTGCTTTTTTGTCTAAGAGCACTTCACGTTCAATTCTGTCGTGCATTTTGACGTTTTATTAGTTGGCAAACACACCCTTTACACACCCTTTGCACACCAATATTCCTCCAGCATGAAGTTTTCACACACAGAGTAGATAAGATATGAAATGCTTTAATGTAGAATCCATGTTAGTTTTCGAAAGGAAACGAGAATAATATCTAAAAAGGAGTATGGGGAAAACGCAGGTCAATGGGAGTGAAAGGATTGATCTTTAAAAGAACCAGCACAGACACAATGGCCTGAATGACGTTCTGTGCTGTACTTTCTATAGTTCTATGAGGTGAATGGCCAATTTATCTGGAGGAATGTTGGTAGAGACCCTGGGAGAAATTCTATTTTCTTATAGTATATTTTATTTTATTATATTTTAGTATATTCTGCGAAGTGCTTTGAGATGCCTAGAAAATGTGAAAAGCGCTATATCAAACACCAGTATTATTATTATTATAGAACAGTATCATGTTACATCCACCTGAAAAAGAGGTAGAAGGAAACTTTGTTTTACGTCTTATCTGAAGGACAGCATCTCTGACAACATAGCACTCTCCCATTATGAACCAGATTGCCAATCGAGAGTATGAGCTAATTTTTGGGCTTGAACCCATAACTTTATTACCCAAAGGCAAGAGTATCATTAACTGAGCCAAGCTGACATCAGATAATTATCAAAAATTAAAGACTCAATTGGCAAAGCAAGTATAAAACTTCAACCATACAGACCCAGAAACTCCCAAGTACCATTCTCAACCTGTCCTGAGAGCAAGAGATCAGTAAGGAAATTAATTTGCTCTCAACGCTCTTGACAAGGAAAGGAGAAAATCATTTAGAATTTATGCTGGAACGTGTGTAATGTTGAGTGAGGACAAGATTAGGCTTGACTGTGATCCCTCCCTCTCTCCTCCTCCACTCCCTCTTTTTGATTAAATATTCTGCTGACACTGAATGTCGAGACTCAAGCATGAGAAATGGCCATTTGCGTACACATCAGAGAGCAGCTGATGGCAGTATCTCAGCCCTAGGCATTGCTTTCAGGAGGAGGAGAAATCAGCAGCAGCTCCAATATTTCAACAGTCGAATAATACTTGATCTTTTCTGTGCTGCTCATATCTTTTGCAAAATAAATAACATTTGTAAAAATTTGAATGTCTTCATCTGCAAAATTTCCAGAAGGCACAGCAACAGCTGTCATAAGATAATAATAACTTAGACATTACTTAGCCTAATTTCAGTCCATTTTTTTAGGCAGTAATAAGGAGGTACATAAGTGCTTCCAGTAAGTAGTTGTATCTCTCACAAAGAAACGCTCTAGTCAGCAGCAATGCCATTTCTGAATTATTACATCGACGACTGTACTTTACGCTTCACCTGCTCAGATAGAAATCACTTTCTTCAGGGATACAAATAGCTTCCATGGGCTTGTTGACAAGTATTTTCATAGGTGAGAGCACTCTTTGTGTGCTGCTCATCTCTTGCCACTTTCAAAAAGGATTCAATTTCCTTCAAATTACATGCCAGGTATAAGCGAGCTTCAGGATGGCTGAGGATTTGGGGCAGTGTGTGTGTGTTTCTCAAAAGTGCTCAAAAATAGGTTATATGTCTACAAAACACCTCCTCCCACCATGAACAGCAATATGTTTTTCAAGGCATCATGGACTTGCAATTTTTTATAGTCTTGACATTACGACCATTGTCTTAAAATTTTATAATTGTAATAATAATAATATTCCTTGCATTTGATACAGTGCCTTATCATTTCATCAAGATATCTCATAGTGCTTCACAGAATATACTGCTAAGTGAATTGACTGGAGGATTGGGTAGATTTTTGAAAAACATCTTAAATTGAGTCTTAAATGTACGGCTGTTTGTGAGTCACTGCTGTGCGCATTTGGCTGCCTCGTTTCGCCCACAAATATACAGTCAATTCACTTTACAGCATATTCTGTGAAGCGCTTTGAGATGTCTCGAAGGTGTGATAAGGCTCTATACCAAATGCAAGGATTGTTATTATTAAATTGTGATGCTGATTTTCTTTTTAAGACAGAATTTTCTCAACTTAAAGTCTGTGTTTGAACTAATGTTGATTCAACTCCCTCACATTCTGGGCTCACGTGTGTGTTCCCAGTCAGTGACACCACCATCCACAATCAATGCCATTGGAGCCAGTGATTCTCTAGGAGTGGTTTGTGTTCACACCTGCAGAAACCTGTGGTGAATTTCTACAGGCTTCTATAGAATACCATGGGATTTCTGTGGAGGTCTGTACAGATTGCAAGTGGTTTACTTAGAAATTCCATACAGCAGTGAAGACATACGCCAACGAGGAGGAGAACCTAATATGTTGGCCACTTTCATTCAGGATATTTACTAACCACAGGAATCAGCGGGCCACCTCTATTTGAATTTGTTTATCTTAGGCAAACAAACATGGCTGCTCATAGGCAGCGTAATTGCTTGTTTATATTGTCGACAAACGTGAATTGTTGCCTCAATTCAATTCAGTTTATCACATCAAAATGTCTCAAAGAACTACACAAATTATTATCTCTCTGCCTCTCCCTCTCTCTATCCACCTTAAAACCACCTGTGGTTGCCCACCCCAACCCCCCACCACCAGCTCAGCATCTAACTACACCGTTCTGAAACATTTTGAGACGTTATCTTATGTGAAGGGTGCTATATAAATGTAAGTTGTTGGTATACTATCGTGTAGAGTCTGCAAATAGAACAGCAAGATCCTATGGCACAAAAGAAACAACTTGCAAATTAAAACTGAATTAAAGAAACCTCTATAACAAGAACAACTTGCATTTATATGGTGCTCTTCACGCAGGACTAGGTCTCAGAGCGCTTAACAGTGGTAGGGCCTGACTCCGACGCTGGGGGAGGATGGAAGTGACCGCAAGAGAAAGGTCTTCAGTCACAATCTAGTGTGGATGAGAATATGAGTGGTGGAGTTCTGGATCAGTTGTAGTAGTCAAGGCCAGAGGTAACAAAGGCATGAATGAGGACTTTGGCTGCGTTGTGGGTGAACCTGACACCCAGGTTATGTACAGGTTTGGTAAGTGTTAGGGAAAGCCCAGGGAGGTTGAGGATGTCAGAGCCAATGGAGAGAAGAGGTCGATGTTAGCCAAGGAGTTTGGCTTACATAACCTATACAATTCTGCATGATCTTAAATTTTCTGCAGTACACCTGGTGACAGTCCAGTCTGCTGGCTTGCGTGTAAGATTTGGAGAGGCAGATCAGTCACTGGGGTAGAGGTTCTTCGCCGGCTCTTGTTAATTCTGCAAAGTCATAACATGTACCTAGGGCTAGCTGGACAAGCAGCGGGACAGCTTCCCTGAAATAATTATAATAATCCTTGAATATTGCACCTTATCATGTTTTCGAGATGTCTCAAAGTGATTCACAGGATATACTGTATACTTTGTGGGTGAAACACGGCAGCCAATTACACACAGCAGTGACCCACAAACAGTCGTGGATTGAGTGACCAAATTATTATTATTATATTTTTTGAAGGGATTATTCACCCCAGGAATTCAATCTGCCAATCGACTAGCAACCGGGTTCCTGTTTACTGCGAAGTAAGCAGAGGTGTGTAGAGTAAGGAAACTTGCCTAACGTTTCCCTGCCCTGGAATCGAACCCAGGTCCTTTCACTTGCAAGGTGAGTGCTCTTATGAAAGTGCTCATATTTGCAAGCTATGTGGTTTTAGCTGTTAAATTTCTGAACTGTTTCAACACCCACTCTGAGGTCCCTAAGCCTTGGTCTTCCAAACCTGCGCTTAATATTCTCTGGAATTAGATAAGCACGGTGCAGGCCTAATGGATTTCATTATGCAAGGTGTATCAGAAACAAAAATCTACAGTGCAGGAGAAGGCCATTCCACCCACTGAGTCCACATCGGCTGACAGAGCAAGGAGATCAATTCAGTCCCACCGCCCACCTTATGATGTTTAGCTGTCAATTCAACATGACTAATAATAATAATGATGATAATAATCGTGCATTTGATATAGCGCCTTATCAAGTCATTGAAGACATGTCATAAACTAATTTGAAGCGTTGTGCAAATTTGTTAGGGTTTGTATAAATTTACCAGCCTGCAACATTCTTCAGCTTATACCTATTTCCAGTCGCACCATCTGAAGAGCATATGCTATTAATCTCTCCTGACACCCAGTCACAAAATAATACCTCCTACAGTATCTGGAAGGAATGCTTTCATACTTGTGCTGCCACTCGCATTCGCCGAGGGTTGAATATAATAATAATAATCTTTGCATTTGATATCGCACCTTATCAAGTCTTCAAGACGTCTCAAAGCGCTTCACAGAATATACTGTAAAGTGAACTGACTGTAGATTTTGTGCGTAAAACGCAAGTAACCCAATTATATCTATCACCAGTAACTTTCATGACGTTTGAAGACAGGGATATGGATTGTGAAACAAGTATTAAGAGCAGTTCTTTTCAACTGTCTTCTTTTTTTTAAAAAAAATAGCCACAGTGCAAGGCGGGGGTAGCTGTTTAATGAACGATGCCTTCCTGCTGGCCTGGCTCTGAAATGCTGCACAGCAACACCGCAGTGCCCATGGCATGGCATGGCATGGCATGGCTGGTTGGTTGTGCTCCCTGTTGGGAGCTGTACCCTGGGGCAGGTTTGCTTATTATCCGACAAACTGCGAGAAAAAAAAAGCGAGCTGCAAGCAATGCAATGCAATGCACTGCACTGCTCTGCACTGCACTGCACTGCACTGCACTGCAAGCCCTGCCAGGTCTGAATCACATAAGGACTCTGTGCACCGTGCACGACATTCACAGCGTCAGACAGAAAGTGCTAAGCCGTAGCCTTTTTTTTTCCCCCCTTCCTTTTAACGTGAAAGCCTCAGCTGTAACTTGCAATGCCTTTCCTTTTGTTTACACTGCAAAGTGCCACTTCCTTGTGCTTTACCCGGCGTATTTCCTCATCGGGACTGTGGGAGCACACGCGATCTGCACCGCTCTCTCTGCCTCTGCATTTCTCCACCGCACACTTTTTAGACGAGTTGTCAGAAGACACTGCACTTTTGACTGCGGGTTCTGTGCAATTGCGGTGTTTGTGTGAGGCTTTGATGATGCGATCGCGCTTTTGGAGGATGAGATCTCTCAAGGAAATAGTCTTGGGGTGAAATTCTGGCACTGTTTTTAGTCTGTGACCGGGCAAAGTCGGAGTGGTTAGGAAAGGCGAATCAACCTGTTACATCTTCTTGAGCATTTGCAGTTTCACTGCTGCAGAGGCACTGATTCTCACAGTCGTCGCGAGAAAAAGATGCAGAAAGTTTGTTAAGAAAAAACAAGAGGAGAGAGACAGAGAGAGAGAGAGAGAGAGAGAGGAATAGCTAAACCGTAAAGGACGCTTCGGAGATTTTTTTTAAAAAAAACAAAAGGGATTTATTGCAACCTTCGCCCTGCAAGGATTTTTTTTTTAAAAAAAAATATTATTTAACGAGTGGAGCTTTGTCATTAAAACATCCCAATGTTATTGCTATTCACACTGGTCATAGTGTTTGCTGACTTACGGCTTCATGGCGTCAAAGCTCAAGGCGGATCTATTAAAGCTTTGCGATCCTCTACTATACAGAGAGACGGTAAGTTCCAGTTTATTACACATTATAACTGAGTGCAGAAACCTGCTCAGGAGAGCAAACATAAGCTTTAAGACAGCGAAATAAAGTAAGAGTTCTTTGGTATTGTTTGGCGACTCCTATTGGACTGGTTGTAGTTGGAAGAAAGCACAGTGCAAAAAACTGCAAAACTTTTCTTCGCACTCCCCAAAAAAGTGCACATCTGTATTTGAGAAAACTTTTAGAAACTTTCCCAGTGGGGGGCGGGGGGGGGGGTGTTTTTTTTTAAACCAGAGAGTGTTTTAATGCACCCCATCGGGTGCAATGGCTTTTAAGGGTGTGTTTTTTTTTGCTGAACTGGATCGTGTCTCTCACTTCGTGTCTCACTTTGACAGGGAGCAGAACATTTTTTTTTATCAACACACACTCGAAATATTTCTGAGCGAGGATTGCACTCCGAGGCAAACTGCTTCCCGAGCGTTAGTCCGGGTCACCTATTATTTTGCAGCAAAAAAAAAACCCAAATGGCAGATGAGAAAGAATCTCCTGCGGGTTGAATACATCAAATAAGCCTTGAATGTGGGTGTTCATCTCACTGATTCAGACAGGAGAGAGAGAGAGAGAGAGTCGAGCTCCAGTGGTGTGAGTTGTGACACCAGACTTTCTTGTTGCGTTTCGATCTTCTGATTTTAAACGCCACTGTAGTTATATTGACTCGTGGAGTCGGGACAAGAAGAGAAGCAGATCTCAGATCCACACACACACACACACACACACACACACACAGAGTGCCATGAATTACTGTGGTTTGGGATCACTGAACTTTCAGTGATGACACGAATCATATAAGAGCCCTTGGTTTCAGATGGGGGTGGGTGGGGGGGGTGGGGGGTGGGGGGGGGGGGGGGGGGGTCTCGCCTTTTAGGTGTTGTTTTCTGCTCTCTGGTTTGTTTTTGTACGCTTTGCATGCGTCGGACTGACAGTGTGCGCCTGGTGCCTCGTTGTGTTTAACGCTGACAGATGTGTATGGGTTGTGGGTTGGGTTCTGGTTGCAGGACATGTGGGTACTGCATTCCAGCAGCTGGAGGAATGTGCCAGTGTTATTGAAGGCAGCAGATCTATTACCCTGGGGTGGAGGGGGGGGGGTGGGGGGGGGGAGATGTTAGTGAGATTTGGAAGGAACCCAACATGACCTCATCAGGATTATAGTTGCAACTGCAATTACTTGCTGGGATGTGGTCCTTCAAAGCCTTGGATCTCCTGCTCGGGTCCTGATGATGCTGAGAGAGCAAGAGATCAGGGAATGGGCCGACAAAAAGGTCCCGAGCCCTTAAAGGTGCGGAACACCTCGAGGACGTGTTGCCTTTTGGTGGGACCGGCCTCGTCACAATGGGGGGGAGGTCCCCCACGGGAGCATGACATCATCCACAGCCAATGACCGAGAGACTGGGCAGGGCACTATGACGTCAGAAAGCAGCGGTGGGGGGGGGGGGGGAGGGATTGCTGCAGCTCAGGCTGAGGGTCCAAATAACTCTTGGAGCTGTGTGGTCTCCTCACCCTCTGTGTGTGTGTGAGTGTGTGTGTGTGAGTGTGTGCTGCACAACATCTAAAAGGAAATTTCAGTTGTTGAGCAGCGTGTTTCCGGAAGTGCAACTCGGGCGGTGTTTGATATTGTTGTTATACTAATGCATAGCATTGTGTTCATTTATATGAGAGTTTCGCCCACACAAGAGACCGCCAATCCACTTTGCAGTGTATTCTGAGAAGCGATTTGAGACGTCTCAACGACCTGTTAAGGCGCTCTATCATATGCAAGGATTAGTAGTGGCAGTAGTAGTATAATGTCAACGTGGTCACATACATGGTGGAGTCCTGCAGTTTAGTGGTTAGAGTACTCGCCTCACAAGCAAGAGGACCTGGGTCCAATTCCTGGACAGGGTGAAATCTTAGGCAAGTTTCCTTACTCCACACGCCTCTGTTTACCCAGCAGTAAGTAATAACCCGGTTGTTCGTCAATTGGTAAATCGCTTTTCCGGGTGTAATAAACCCTTAAAAAAAATTTGGTCACTCAATCCACAACTGTCTGTGGGACACTGCTGTGTGCAATTGGCTGAATACATTCTGTGAAGCGCTTTGAGTCATCTCGAAGACATGATAAGGAGCTATATCAAATGCAAGGATTATTCCATTCCAAAATCCAACTGATTCCGGGAATATTTATTTTACTGTCTGTGTTCAGTATTTTATTGAATATAATGGAAAGATGATGTACTTAATTACGATAGTTTTAGTGTAACAAAGTGGTAAACCATTCTCTGATAAATTAACATCCATTTTTTAGCTAATTTTTACAGTTGTAATATTACAGAGGTAGAATAGTTTCAAATAGCAGTATCCATCGGTCCTTCTAACCTACCCATCCAACTTCCCTAAGATTCTTTCCACATACTGTATCTATCTCATCCTTTAATATGAATCTCCAAGATCTTATCTAGTTCACTCACAAAACAGTCACTCCACTTTGCATTATATCCTGAGTAGTACTTTGAGCTGTTGCACTCCCTCTCACAATTTAATATCTTTACAACTCCAGGGAACATTTGTGATGTTAAAATTAAATACTTCTGAGCATAATTAATTTAGAAAGTAATCCTTGAATCAAAAATAGTTCTTCAATCATTAAAGTCATGTTATAATTAACAGTAATACATTTTATTTAAAATTAAGGCATTTCTAGCTCATTCAAAGGATGCATAGTTCATCAATTTTGAAACAATTCGCAAATTATTTTATTCATGAAGGCATATACATATAAATTAAAATTGAAAATTCCGAACTCACAGTGTGGTAATATATTATGCATTTAAGTATTTTATTAACTTATAAATTTATAAAAATGTATAAATGGTGACTGCTGTTTCACTTGAACATATATAACTTCAATTTCATCTCCTTTCAATTTAATTTTTAGTTCAAATGGGTAGTTTGCATCCTTATAAAAAATGAAAAAAATGAAAACATTAATAATTTATAGAGCAGTTAGTCCTTGGCAAAAAAAAACGTTTTCGCTCAAATATTTATGCTTACTTTATTGGACTGCCAACAAGTTTACCAGAACTAGCTTTCTCTGCTCTCTACAAGGAGTAGCTTGCTGAAGGGGTATAATATTATACGTTTTATAATAATAATCTTTGCATTTGATAAAGCACCTTATCGCATCGTTGAGACATCTTAACGTGCTTCATCCTAAGGTTTTGATTCCAGGAGGATGAATTTCAGAGGTGGTTTTTTTTATGTGTGACAGAATAAAGTCGTTAACCACGGATGGTGGCCACATTATTTGGGAGGAAACTTTACAGGAGGAAAAAACGGCAAATTATTTCCTCTGCCCTGATTTTGTTCCTTTGTTAACTTCCTCCTCCAGTCACACATCTCCCAGAGCTCTCAACACAGGATTCCTATCTCTGTTCCCAAGCCACCACCAATGCTGATCTTGGCACACGAGCAGAAGAAGTCCAAACGCGATCACCCCAGCAGATTTTCCTTTCCCCTCAATGTTTGAGAGGACAGCACTATAGGGAAAATTAAACCTGTATCTTTCCTTCCTGGAACACTGTGTGTCAGCCCAATGCCACTGAACTATTTGTACAGATTATGCTAAGATTTTGAAAGAGGAGGTGCAGTCACAAATATTTTTTATAGAACATCTATCTTTGCCTTTTCAGTTTTCTCTCCTCCTCTCCCAACGAATCTGGTTTATATATGGTTCCATGTGTTCACTTGATACCTCAGCAGCTTAATCCTTCCTTCATGAGTCATCCACATACATTCATTCTTCAACAAGGATCACAACTAAGACCACAGGAGTGCGAGTCAGGTTCACTGTTACCCTCCCTGACCAAATGATGCTGAGGACTATTGTGGGCATCCTATTGTTACTCTGGAATATATTAGCTGACCCAACACACAAATGGACGTGTTAGTTTCACATTGTGTAGTAGTCATAATGGAAGCTATAATATAATACCATCATGTCTCAAAAGAGTTTCATAAGATTACTGTACAGTATTGACTTTTATTGTTTTCACTGTTTCCACTGGTGGGTGTGTCGGTGACTCAAGGTCACAGATTCAAAATAGTCTCTAAAAGAAGCAGAGGGGTGGTGAGAAGAAATTTTTTCACGCAGCGAGTTGTTTGAATCTGGAACGCATTGCCTGAAAGGGTGGTCAAGGCCGATTCCATAGCTACTTTTAAAAACGTGGTGGATGGGTATTTGAGGAGGACGGGTTTGCAGGGTTATGGGGAAAGGGCTGGGGAGTGGGACTGACATTAATTGCTCTGTTCAAAGAGCCGGCACAAACTCGATGGGCCGAATGTCCTCTTTTTGTGTTGTACGATTCTATGATTCTATCATATCATTTGTCTTTCATGGTTATTACTTCACCATCTCTTTGTTTTCTCTGTTTATTTTGACAGTTCCTTATCCTTCTCTTATTTATTGTGTGTCACCCTGGCTCAATTTATTGCACATTCACCTCTGAGTCAGAAGCTTGTGTGTTCAAGCCCGCCCTCGAGACCTGAATTTAAATCGTCTAAGCAGAAAAACCCATGCAATGCCCGGGGGGGGGGGGGGTGTTGCACTGTTGGTGGTGCCGTCTTTCAGATAAGACATTAGAAAATCAATTTCTGATTTAAAAGAACATCTCAAAATGTTATCTACTACTTTAATAAATAGTGATGACTTTCACAATCTCTGAATTCTTAAAAACAATATTACAATATAGTTATATTCATAGCTCGAATCAGTAAACGTGAACAATTAAAACTTTCTACAAACTTCAATAACCCGTAATTGTGATTTTCTCTAGATTGCTTCTCAACTTGCAAACTTATCAGAGATAACAAGTAACTAAACTGGGTCAGATAAATTAATACTTGAGCACCAATATCTTCAGATATTCTGCTTCCACTCTCTGGGATTCCATCTTGAGTTCCTCTGCTTTGCCCACTCCTTCTCTGTTTTG